CGACTAATATTAATTGCTGTATTTTTGTTCTTTCTTCCTTGAATCCCGTCCAGGGTTTCCATAGAGATCCATTCCTTATGATGATGATCCTTGCGACCCAGCACCTCCTGACACGTTGAAGTTGATGGTTCTTTGATCTCTTTTCAGCTGTCCTCCATAGTAGTTTCTTCTTCTTTGAGTAGATTTTGTAAGACATGGAACCTGTTGTTGAGAACTATCTTGAATTCGTTAAGTTTGTCAGTATCTCGGAATAAGGTTGTATTGAACCTTTGTAATTTTGTTTCCCCAGTTGTCCAGTCCTTTAGCTGCAGTTTCATCTCTGTCACAACCAGGTAGTGATCAGAGGCTATGCCAGCTCGTCTCCTGCTTCTCACACCCTACACTCACCTTTTGAATTTTTCAGTGACAACTATGAACGATCTAGTTGTCCGTAGTGTGGTCCGGTGAGACAAATGCAGCTTTGTGTATGCGTTTGTGTGGGAACGTTGTGCGCATATAACTATGCATTTGAATGAACTTAATTTTGTAAATCTGTCACTATTCTCGTTCGTTTTTTTACCAGTCCTCATATAAGAACATGGTTGAACAGGAAAGAAATTATATTCCAAATCACAAAGGTAGATGTAAGTAAGAAGCACAATAAGGAAAAACGTTAGTGTATCTATAGTTTTTACATGGGAAGATTCTAGAGTCTTCTCTAAGTATCGACTAGCGCTGATTGGATAAGAAATAGCCAATCAACATGCAGCAACACAATCGTGCACGAAAGATGCTTTAATCCAATATATGTCTGGCTAACACAGTCAGTCCATGTCGTCCCATGATATCTCCGTAACCGTTGTTGTCCATTCCGACTTTGGCGTTTAGATCTCCCATCAAGATTGTCAGTTTCTTTCCTGGGCGCTTCGCTACGATTGATTGTAACCTCTCATAAACCTAATTTTTATCGTCCTAATTGTTATCATTGGTGACTGCATAACAGGATAATATTCATTGTCATTCCCTCCTTCTTTGTTTTGAAGGATGATTTGATGATCAAGGGTCCATGAGATTTTCATCCATTAAGTGCATTACTTGCTTCTTTGGACAGCATCAGTTCAGTTTCGTGAGTGTATGGAGCATCTTCCTCTTTATGACCAGAATAAAGCAGAATCTCTCTCGTACCTAACATTTGGTGTAATGCTTTGGTCCAACAATAGCGGTTATCAGGATTATTATTACACGAGGGACTAGGTATTACCACGTGTATAATCTCTAACACGTCGACAAATTAGCATTAATGTTGGATTTAGCAGGGCACCATTATTATTGAGAATGACAGAAACCACTCAAAACTCTTTTCTTACTAAACTACAACTGAAATTAATGCGTTTTTGTGTAAATTCACATTTCAGGGATCTCAAGGGAATAAAGAACATGAAAAGATCCTTGAAATGCCCACGTCAACCGTTTAGATGTCAGTTTAACTAAAAACATGGTTCTTCTTTCTAAAAATCATATTCACGGTTAATCCTGAAGAGCTTTTGAAGAAATCCTTGACGTTTATCCGTACATTCATACGGTAGCTATTTCTTGTTTTAACCAACAATAAATTTCATTGCTAATAAGTGGTCTGTTTACTCATTCAGTTTTAGAAGGGGCCTGAGAACGGTCACAATTTTCCATAATCGGTGTAGATAACCACTAACAGAATTCGTAAATGTCAAGTGGCACACCATAATGGGAACATCCACATACGTTCAGTTTTTTCCTGAATAATTGAACAGCTAACGTTACTACGAATCTTTCAGTAAACAGTTTCATCAAGACACATGATGCACTTTTATGAACAGTGTAATTTATAAAACATCAAATTAACTGAGTAAACCATTACAATGAAGAATGTGTCTTCTGTAGCAATTTGATCTTGCCCGTAAAGTGGTATGCCTCGTTTAACAGACAATTATTTGAGAATAAATTATGATTACTTGCCACACGCAGATTTCACGAGAAGACGAGAACCTGAAAAAGAACTAATACTGGGGTTAGACGCTGGCTAGAAGGACCCTGGTATTGCAATTTTCGAGTGATAAGTCTTCCCTCATTTTTCTTGTCTTCCAAACAGAGAATTTGCCAGAACACTCCAGTAAAGTTCATAAGCTCAAAACAAATTACTTGTCAGTTGACTATCAACTTTTCCGTCGAATCATCAACGAGTGGAATTCGTTACCTCAGCACGTGTTTGGGGCTACATCCGTCGACTCTTTTAAAAGAAAAATGGATCAACTGAAAGACTATAATTGACAAAACTAATACAGGCCATCAAGTCCCGTTTCCTTCTAAACTGAAACTGAAACGAATTTGCAACACCACACTTTTCAAAAAGCATAATCTGTTATCGTTAGAAGTGGATATTCCTGAACTGTTGCGTTTACTGAAAATGCAAAATCGGGAATGCCTTCTTCATGAACATTTTAATGTACATATAAATGTTTGAATATACGGATGGGTCATGTAGTTGTATATGCTGTTATCTAGATATCGGTATGTACCCGATCTCCCAATTTTGAGGAAAATTTGATCCATCCTCAGGTCTGGGGAAGTTCTTCAATATCTCCCCTAAACCTTGAGGAGTTCCTCGAAATTTCTCCAAACTTCGTGGAAGGCCATTTGACTTAAGGGTTTTTCACAAAATTGGGAAACTAGGTACGACTGCAGGTAAAGTACCTATCGTGTATATCATGGATTGTGTGAGTCGCCGTGAAAATCAAAGCGCGAAATTGTCTATGTTTTGTTTTTCTTGTAACTCAGAACAAAACTGTGGTGAAATTCGTAGACATATCAATATCTTGTTCTGGAGACTAGCTAATTCAAATTAGCATCTTTCGGTTTCACTGGGTTCTCTGAGTGCATTCAGTATCAGGTTTAAGGAATTCTTTTCATCAGTCAAGCAAAACGGGACAATTATTACATGTAAAATTCATTCAGAAAATAGCGGTCACTACACATTAATTTCATCAAAATGTTTTCATAATAGTCAACGTATCTAGTTGGGATATGATGCATATTATGATGTAATAATGAAGATATATCCGCTGGTATATTGCTTAAGTTACTTGTAAATAACCCATTTATTACACGAGTTTAGTTGCGTCAGTGTTTAAATACAGGTATCAAGGTTGTATTTTATCCAAAGATTTCCATTGTAAGTAAGGACCTTATTCATCAAAGTTCTTTTCTATTAGCCTTTCATAATCTCTACCAAACTTTCATACTGAAAGTAAAAACTAGCTTTGAAGCCGCTTTACCTCATTTATGTTCGTCTCTTTGTTATCTGAACCACGTTTGTTGTCGTTGTTTTAGTACGATTAAAAAACTATAATTTCTGAGAGTAATTGATTGGTCTCGAAGTGTTGGTGTGTAGAAACAACAGCGAATTATCCCATCATAAATTCAGTAAATCCGGAACAAAAACTGAAGTAGAATAATGTGAATTCATTGTATTAAGTGGTTTTTCGTCAGCTGCTTACAGCCATATACGTTTTACGATGTAACACTGAGGTATGATACGGTGTGTAGCAAGTGAGTTTGTTGGTGAACTAAACTAGATTAATACTTTAATACGCATACGATTGCAAGCTGATGAGGAACCACAAAATATAGTGAGTTCGTACAATCTTGCCTCAACTGTTGTTTTGGCTTTATTTAAACTCATAAAGGGAACCCAGTGCAAGAAATATTGCACTATATATGTTTTTAAATCTTTCAGATATTACCAGGACTAATTCTTTGGTAATTTAATCTGCGATATTCATCTTTTAAATGTTTGGTAGTACTGAAACGGTCATTTTTGGTCGTCGAGAAAGTGAAGATATGTCACAAGGTCTCGTGTTTATCCGATGAAATAGGAATGGTGACGAATACGGATTAAAGCAGCTTGAACTCTTTACACCTTTTGCATTGGTTCAGACTAATTTTATTTCAAATTTCATTGATAGTAAAGTTTCTGAAAGAGTCCAGTTTTAATATTTTTGGCTCTCAATAAGTAATAACAAGTTTTAATATGCCGAACCAAAAACCAGTTTCACGAGCAGAAATTTAGGTACCGCCGCTGTACAGCATTCATTCTTTCGTGTACTTGTCGGCTACAGGGGGGAAATCAAAATCATAAAGTCCAGAGATCACTGTTAGATGAGTCGTATCTATCAAATTTTTACTACGGCAACAAATTTCAATAGTTCACATAGCCTCTTAAAATACTTTGTGAGGTGTATAATCACACAAAAACCAAGATTGTCTTGAGTGGTTGAGGCTCAAATATTTTTAGAGCGCCAGTTTCTTCGGTGTTGCAGATATATTTTCCACTAACTAAGAGTTTGCCAGGAACTCGAAGTCACTTTTGATTATTAGGTTTTGTATATTTTATTACTTCTATCGCTATTTGACTTATATTTTCCCATTTCTATGACAGTACTAGCTTTCATCTTCAGAGAACGGTTTACTTTTGTGTGCCTGTAGTGAAAACAATTTGTATTCAAGGCAGATCATACCATGCATTACTTATCTGTAGGTTTTTGACGACAAATGTATCTGGTTGTAGTAGTCATATCTATAACGCAACTGATATTAGACTGATTATTTTAAAGAACACTGTACACACCTTATTATGGAAACGTTTACCTTAGGTATTTTTCGAGTATGGTTATATTCGGGTGATACTGACGCAGTGTCTGTAAGTACAAGTTATGTTATCGCATAGATGTTGCTAAGAATGCCTAAAATGAAATCCCTCTTGTGATACATCTCAAACGAAGCATAACATTTATCGTAATGTTCGTTAATTCAGGTCCAAGTCTTAGAATAAAATACACTGAAATGTACAAACATATAAAAATACCATTGAAATCAGTAACTATAAATGCTGTTTTTAAAAGAAAATAACCTACGTAATTCGATATGTTTTGAATTAACAGTAGTAATCGTTTATTAATTTATATTTTACGCAACATTTAGCGTTGCAGATGATGAGTCCGCCAAAAAACGAAACTTATAGCGGATTCTTGGCAACTATTTCATTAGTGGTTGCGAAGGTGTCAGTAGCAGTTTATCTTGTCAAACAGACGCCACCAAATATTTCAAGCTATGATTTTGTCAGATTTCTTCAGAATCGGTATATGAGAAGGGAGGAAGAAAAAGAAGCACTTATTAATTATTATTTCTTAAATGAAAAGCGGCCAAGTGATCACAATTCGAACTGTGAAATCAGCTTCAAAATGGGGACTAAAACAATAGGTGATATTTTAGTTTTCTAACCGTACACTTTTACTTTATTTGTTTTACAGACCTCAGCACCTATACAGCTTTTAGTTCAAGTCAGCTAAAGATGACTAAATTCAATCTGCAGAATATAATGATGCTTTCTACAAATCAAACAGCTAATCAGTTGAAATATTATTTACAAGAAATTTTATCCTCATCCTACAATATACTTTTTCATGCTTTTAAAGCAAATTGTGAGGAAGGATTAATTTCGTCAAGGAAACTGAATACCTTCCTCAGTATGAAACAAGATGCAGAATTTACATTTCGTTTATGGATTAACAAAACAATGGAGCTGCTAAACGAAAACCCGGAGAGTCTGATTCAATGTCTTGATCTTTTAAGAAAATTTGTTATTTCCAGGGATTTCTCTGCAGAAACAGATAGTAGTCTTTGGGATTCAACAATACTTGAGTTAAATTTGATCCTTTCCAGTTCGTTCAAAGCGCATCTAAACACACTATATCGTACTAGTATTGCCCAATTTACCACTGAGTTCATAGATGATGTATTAAAAAAACTCTGTGAAAATTTTCAGACATTAGATTCAAATCATGGAAAAATGCTGTTTCTCCAAGTTAGCAAGTGTGCCCATATAATATGGCTCTCCGTGAATCTTTTAAAATCTTTTGATGATGATGATCAAATTTTCGACAGAACACAAGCCTTTCGGTGGGTACAGATTTTAGACAGATGGCTTGAAGCACAAAAACCATCCACCAATCAAGCAGAAAGGTTCTCAATGGTTCAACTTACTGGATTAATGTTTACTATATTTGTTTTAAAAAATAAAATTATCAGGCTCACTGCAAAGTTTTAAAAGACAATAATACTAGAATACATAATGTGCATTTGACTGGTTAACTTCGTTAAATATTTTGTACTGGAATAAATTCAAATTTTTGAAAAGGATAATAGTTAAACCACTTATGACTAACTTAGTTTTCCAAGTAACATCTGTTGCTTGTCAGTAAGGAATAAAATTTGTTGATTGATGAAATAATGTCAGGAAAAAGACCTTTCTCCATGTAGTTCTTTTTTCTTCCCAATAAAAATTTACGTCAACTTTTTCAGAAATGTTTTCTACAGCACAGGGCAAAGTCCTCAATTAATCTTCTGACTTTATAACTAACGATTTTAAGAATACTTATAATACAGTCAGTATTTTGAAGTAGTTTATTTACACAAGTCAAATGACGATGATATACAGCCCAAGTGGATGACTTTTGTGAGTTTTCAGATATGAAGTTGTCTAAGTACTGAAAGTTCTTCTGCAAAAACCCATTTTTAGTGGTTTCTTTTTCTGAGCAAGATGGTGTATTTGTGAGACTTTTATCGTCCTAATAAAATCAAGGCGGAAGGAATAGGCTTCAAGTCATTTGTGGCGAAATTCGGATAAGTAACTTTGATTTAAAGTTTGTGTTGGTGATATTGTTTCGAAGGACGATGAAAGTTTTAAGATTAAACCACTAAGCTCAGAAAGCGAAACTCCATCAAAATAAAGCTTTATCCCCTCAGTACTTAGACATCTTCATTTTTAAATATTCACTACCGTCTACGCTCTCATTTATTTGAGTAACCAGCAATCTAAGGTGAAGATAGTTTTCCACGAATGGTAGATGTTGGTATTGTCCGTGAATACCAAAATAATCAATAATTTTTGCCTGAATGTAACGAAAATTGATGGGATATTAGTTTTCTTACCAATCATTTCCATGTGGTCCTATATCGTAAAAGTTTTATCCGCTATTATGGTGAAGTATGTAGCCTTGGTTACAGTCGTAACATATTTGTAAACCATTATATGAACTTATCAAATGTAAAATAGAAAAATAAAGAACATAGATCCCACCGTATATGTACATCGGCAAAAGTTACCGTGCCGAATTTTCGTTGTGTAGTACAAAGATGAAGCAATATTCATCTAAAATTAAATCATAATCTAACTTTTCAAATATGTGAACACTATGTGTTGAATAATAAAAATCGATTTTTAGATCCTTACCGTGAATCTCAGTTTACACAAAGATCATCTAAGTTGTCGGTGGTAGTCATAACGTTACGGTGAATAAATTATTTGGTAAAAATCCAAGAAATCATTACTCAGAAAACGCAAAACTAGGTACCCTAATTAAACTCAATTACTTTCTTCATAATGACGTAAAGTGTGATTCTACTCGTGAATAGTCAGTAATATTATATTAAAGTAATTATGAATTTAGATAGTGATAACATATGGGTTAAAAATTTCAATTATTTGAAGTTGAGGGAGAAAGCTTCTAAAGTGACCAGTATCTGTCTTCAACTTTTGAGGCTGTATATATCAGATTCAGATGGGTGTTTTTTAACAATCTGAAAAAAGACAAACATAAACAACAGATTTACAGATAAGATTTGTTAAATAATTTGATATCATTTTGATACACTCAAAAACTGAGCTTATACGATGGAAAGTATATCACAAAATATGTCCATCTATCCAAATGTTTTAACAATAGCATCTCAAATACATTTACATACATTTAAACTAGATAACTATAATGTCTGGTAAGAATTTTGACATCAATTATTTTGAAACTTGGCAAGCTGAGATCGAGAAAAGGATGTAAGTTTTTGTTTGGCCGTGAACTTGATCACATAAATCATTTTTATTTAGTTGAGTAGTTCGTTGATCTACTTATATTGTTATTCCTTTGCAAGTCATATAAGGTGTCTTGAAAGACATGTGGATGAATCATAAAACAAGTGAAGATCTTCATTTATATTTTAAGGAAGCGATAGGATAACTTATTCATAACTCAGAAACCATTCGTTCTGACGAACTTAGTTTTTAGTGATATCGTTTTACAGCAATACAACTAAAATAAAACAAAAGTTTACGGTTTTTATAATTGTTGAGGGAATAAATGTTCATGTGGATTATTCACACACAACAGTAAAATGAACCTAATCTCATTGGCATGGTCGACTATATTCTAGAAACCTATAGACTATTTGTTAGATTTAGGTGTTGAAAATAACAACCATAAGTCAGAGTTCGTTTTACATGCATTTTTTTGCACTATGTTAAGAGAACAGTGATAAAAAATAGGATTTTAATAACATCAAAATTTACCTGTGGTAATTGTAAAGCATATGATCTGAATTCGTAAGCCCATGTGATAAAAAACACTATGATGATAAATCCTGCAGCCCACTCAAAACTTGTACTGCATAGATAAAATGAAAATCCCTGAAAGTAAAATCATTTAGGCATCAAACGTTATTCTCATGTAATATTTGAGTTTTACATTTTCATATAATTATCTGGTTATTTGAACCTTGTCACATTCCAGATTAAATACTTACTTACTTACGCCTGTTACTCCCAATGGAGCATAGACCGCTGACCAGCATTCTCCAACCCACTCTATCCTGGGTCCTCTTTTCTAGTTCCATCCAATTGTTGTTCATTTTTCTCATGTCTATCTCCATTTCTCGGCGTAATGTGTTCTTTGGTCTTCCTCTTTTCCTTTGGCCTTGAGGATTCCATGTGAGGGCTAGTCTTGTGACGCAGTTGGGTGCATTCCTCAATGTGTGTCCTATCCACTTCCAGATCTTCTTCCTGATTTCTTCCTCCGCTGGGATCTGGTTTGTTCTCTCACACAGTACGTTGTTGCTAATAGTGTCCGACCAATGGATCTGAAGTATTTTGCGCAGACAATTGTTAATAAACACCTGTATTTTCTGGATGATGGCTTTCGTAGTTCTCCAGGTTTTTGCCCCATACAGTAGAACTGTCCGCCTGTAGCTCTTCTAGAGTTACTGCCGGTCCCAAGCCCGGGTAAAGGAGGAGGGTTGGGCATGGGGTTAGCGTCCCCATCCCGTAGAAAACTAACTCGCTAAAAAGACGCTTACCAGAAAAAATAATTCAAACCATTTTAACTCTGCCCTGAGAGTTAGAAGGTCTTCATTTAGAAGAATTATGACGCTTCATGGTGAAAGCCGAGTTCCTTCGGAAGCCACGAGGCCGATGCCCCTTCTAACAACCAGAGCAAAAATTTTTATAGGTACATGGAACGTTAGAACAATGTGGGAAACCGGGAAGACCAGCCAAATAACAACGGAAATGAGGAGATACAACTTGGCAGTACTGGGAATCAGCGAAACCCACTGGACCCAAGCTGGACAGAAAAGGCTAGCTACGGGAGAGATGCTGCTATACTCCGGTCACGAAGAGGAAAATGCTCCACACACTCAGGGAGTTGCTCTAATGCTGTCCAAAGTAGCACGAAATGCACTTGTAGGATGGGAATCCCACGGATCCAGAATCATCAAAGCATCATTCAAAACAAAGAAGGAGGGGATCTTAATGAATATTATCCAATGTTATGCACCCACCAATGATAGCAACGACGATATTAAAGATCAATTCTACGAGCGGCTGCAGTCAATCATAGAGAAATGCTCAAGAAAGGACCTCACCATTCTGATGGGAGATCTAAATGCCAAGGTCGGAACAGACAACACTGGATATGAAGATATTATGGGACGACATGGACTGGGAGAGAGGAACGAAAATGGAGAAAGATTTGCAAATTTGTGTGCATTCAACAAATTAGTCATAGGAGGCACAATATTTCCACACAAACGTATACACAAGGCTACATGGATCTCACCGGACCACACTACAGAGAACCAGATAGACCATATTTGCATCAACAAAAAATTCCGAAGGACAATGGAAGATGTGAGAACCAGGAGAGGAGCTGACGTAGCTTCAGATCACCACCTAGTTGTAGCCAATTTAAAACTGAAGCTAAAAAAGAACTGGACAAGTGGACAAACAGCACTACAAAGGTTCAATACAGCCTTCCTTCGAGATACTGACAAACTCAATGAATTCAAGATAGCTCTCAACAACAGGTTCCAAGCCCTTCCAGATCTACTGAAGGAAGAAGAAACTACCATGGAGGACAACTGGAAAGGCATCAAAGAAACATTGACTTCAACGTGTCAAGAGGTTCTGGGGCTAAAGAAACACCATCATAAGGAATGGATCTCTATAGAAACACTGGACAAGATCAAAGAAAGGAAGAACAAGAAGACAGCAATTAACAAGAGCCGAACACGAGCAGAGAAAGTCCAAGCACAAGCTGAATACATAGAAGCAAACAAGCAAGTGAAGAGGAGCATTAGAGCCGACAGGAAGAAATACGTGGAAGAATTAGCAACGACGGCAGAAAAAGCTGCTAGAGAAGGAAATATGAAACAGCTTTACGATACAACGAAGAAACTAGCAGGGAAATACAGTAAACCAGAGAGGCCGGTCAAAGACAAAGAAGGCAAGCCAATCACTGAGATTCAACAACAGCGAAACAGATGGGTAGAATACTTCGAGGAACTCCTGAATAGGCCGGCTCCAATGAATCCACCGAACATCGAAGCAGCACACACAGATCTTCCTATAGATGTCAACCCACCAACGACGGAAGAAATTAGAATGGCCGTCAGACAAATCAAGAACGGGAAAGCAGCAGGACCCGACAACATACCAGCTGAAGCACTGAAATCAGACGTCGAAGTAACCACAAGCATGCTTTACCCTCTATTCAAAAAGATTTGGGAGGAGGAACAAGTGCCAATGGACTGGAAAGAAGGACACCTCATCAAGATTCCAAAGAAAGGAGATCTGAGCAAATGTGAAAACTACAGAGGCATCACACTACTGTCAATACCAGGGAAAGTCTTCAACAGAGTGTTGCTGAACCGGATGAAGGATGCAGTAGATGCCCAACTTCGAGATCAACAAGCTGGATTCCGAAAGGATCGGTCTTGCACAGACCAAATTGCAACACTACGGATCATCGTCGAACAATCAGTTGAGTGGAATTCGTCACTGTACATCAACTTCATTGATTATGAAAAGGCATTCGACAGTGTAGATAGGAGGACATTATGGAAACTTCTTCGACATTACGGAGTTCCTGAGAAGATTGTCAATATTATCCGGAACTCATACGACGGACTACAGTGCAAAGTAGTGCATGGAGGACAACTGACAGATGCATTCCAAGTAAGGACCGGAGTCAGACAAGGCTGTTTACTCTCTCCCTTCCTCTTTCTTCTGGTGGTCGACTGGATTATGAAGACCTCGACATCTTAAGGAAAACACGGAATACAATGGACAGCTCAGAACCAATTAGACGATCTGGACTTCGCAGATGACCTAGCCCTCCTATCACGTACACACGAACAGATGCAGATGAAAACAGCCAGTGTAGCAGCAGTCTCTGCATCAGTAGGCCTCAGTATACACAAAGGGAAAACGAAGGTCCTCAAATTCAAAGCGGAGAACAGCAATCCAATCACCCTTGATGGCGAAACTCTGGAAGATGTAGAATCCTTCACATATCTGGGAAGCATCGCCGATAGACATGGAGGTTCAGATGCAGACGTAAAGGCGAGGATTGGCAAAGCAAGGGCCGCATTCCTACAATTGAAGAACATATGGAACTCAAAACAACTTTCAACCAATATCAAAGTGAGAATCTTCAATACGAACATCAAGGCAATTCTACTGTATGGAGCTGAAACTTGGAGAACTACAACAACCACAATCAAGAAAGTACAAGTATTTATAAATAGCTGTCTACGCAAGATACTCAACATCCATTGGCCGGATACCATCAGCAATAGCCTTCTGTGGGAGAGAACAAACCAACTTCCAGCTGAAGAGGAAATCAGGAAAAGACGATGGAAATGGATAGGACATACATTACGCAAATCGTCAAACTGCATCACGAGGCAAGCCCTAACTTGGAATCCTGAAGGGAAGCGGAAAAGAGGAAGGCCAAAGAACACATTACGTCGGATAATAGAAGCAGATATGAAAAGGATGAATTACAACTAGAAGGAGCTGGAAAGTATTGCCCAGGACAGGGTTGGATGGAGAATGCTGGTGAGCGACCTATGCTCCTTCACGAGGAGTAACGGGTGTAAGTAAGTAAGTAAGCCTTCACATCTGCATCAGATCCACCCTGTTCATCAATGATGCTACCCAAATATGTAAAGGTTTTTACATCTTCCAAATCTTCTCCGTCAATTGTGATTGGATTGGTGCATGCTGTGTTGTATCGGAGAATCCTGCTTTTCCCTTTGTGTATGTTGAGACCTACTGCTGCTGAGGCTGCTGCCGCACTGTTCGTCTTCTCCTGCATTTGTTGTTGCGACTGCGACAGAAGGGCCAGATCATCTGCGAAGTCTAGATCGTCTAACTGCATCCTAGAAGTCCACTGTATCCCGTGCTTCCCCAAGATGTTCACGTCTTCATAATCCAATAGAGTAGATCGCCAGGAGAAAGAGAAAGGGTGAGAGTAAGCAACCTTGCCTGACACCAGTCTTTACTTCGAACGAGTTTGTCAACTGTCCTCCATACACGATTTTGCAGTGTAATCCACCATATGAATTCTGTATGATATTAACTATCTTCTGAGGCACGCCGTATTGTCGAATAAGTTTCCATTGTGTTGTTCTGTCCACGCTATCAAATGCCTTTTCGTAGTCAATGAAGTTGATGTAGAGCGATGAATTCCATTCAATTGATTGTTCCACAATGATCCGTAGAGTTGCGATTCGGTCTGTACACGATCTATCCTTACGGAATCCTGCCTGTTGGTCACGAAGTTGGGCGTCTACGCAGTCCTTCATCCTGTTTAACAATACCCTGTTGAAAACTTTTCCCGGTATTGAGAGAAGAGTGATGCCCCGGTAGTTATCACACTTGCTGAGATCGCCTTTCTGTGGTATTTTGATCAGAAGTCCTTCTTTCCAGTCTGTTGGTACTTGTTCCTCATCCCAAATCTTATTGAAGAGAATGTGGAGTATCCTTGCAGTTGCCGCTACGTCTGCTTTTGGTGCCTCTACTGGGATGTTGTCCGGTCCTGCTGCTTTGCCACTCTTGATTTAACTGATGGCCATGCTGATTTCTTCAATTGTTGGTGGGCCAACATTGATTGGGAGGTCCGTGGGTGCTGCTTTGATGTTGGGTGGGTTCAGTGGAGCTGGTCGACTCAAGAGTTCTTTGAAGTGTTCTACCCACCTGTTTTGTTGCTCTTCAATGTTGGTGATAACCTTGCCTACTTTGCTTTTCACTGGTCGTTCTGGTTTGCGGCGATTTCCAGAGAGTTTCTTTGTCGTGTCATACAATTGTCTCATGTTTCCTTCTCTTGCAGCCTTTTCCGCCGTCGTTGCTAAATCTTCCACATATTTACGTTTGTCGGTTCTGATGCTCCTCTTCACTTGTTTGTTTATTTCCGTGTATTCAGCTTGTGCCTTAGCTTTTTCTGCTCTTGTTCGGCTGGTATTGATCGCTGCCTTCTTGTTTCTTCTTTCTTGAATCTTATCCAGTGTATCAACAGTGATTCATTCCTTGTGATGGTGCTTCTTGTGACCCAGGATCTCATGATATGTTGAAGTGATTGCCTCTTTGATCCCCTTCCAGTTGCTCTCCACAGTAGTTTCTTCTCCATTGAGTAGATCATGAAAGGCCTGGAACTTGTTGCTGAGGCCTATCTTGAATTTGTTGAGTTTGTTAGTATCCTGAAGAAAGGCCGTATTGAACATTTGTGGTGTTGTCCGCCCCGTTGTCCAGTGCTTCTTGAGTTTCAATTTCATCTTGGCGACCAGCAAGTGATGATCTGATGCTATATAAGCTCCTCCCTTGGTTCTCACGTCCTCTATAGTCCTCCTGAACTTTTTGTTGATGCAGATATGGTCGATTTGGTTCTGCGTAGTATGATCCGGTGAAGTCCATGTGATTTTGTGTATGCGTTTATGTGATAATATGGTGCCACCTATGACCAGTTTATTGAAGGCACATAGGTTTGGGAATCTCTCACCATTATCGTCCCTTCCTCCCAGTCCGTGTCGTCTCATGATGTCTTCATATCCAGTGTTGTTCGTTCCAACCTTGGCGTTGAAATCTCCCAGCAGAATGGTCAGGTCCTTTGTTGGGCACTTCTCGACTATTGACTGCAGCCTATTGTAGAATTGGTCTTTAGCGTCTTCATTGTAGTCGTTGGTAGGCGCATAGCATTGGATGATGTTCATTGAAATGCCCTCTTTCTTTGTTTTGAAGGAGGCTTTGATGATCCTTGGTCCATGAGATTCCCATCCTATAAGCGCATTTTGTGCTTATCTGGACAGCATCAATGCAACTCCTTGTGTATGTGGTGCATTTTCTTCTTCATGGCCGGAGTATAACGGGATCTCTCCTGTAGTTAGTCGTTGTTGTCCAACTTGTGTCCAATGTGTTTCACTGATCCCAAGTACCTCTAGGTTATATCTTCTCATTTCTGCAGCAATTTGGAAGGCTCTCCCGGTGTCCCACATTGTACGAACATTCCATGTACCTAAATAAATGGTCGCTCTGGTTGTCAGAAGGGGCATCAGCCTCGTAACTTCCGAAGGAATTCGGCTTTCATCATAAGGCGTCATAATTCTTCTAAATGAACACCTTCTGACTCCCAGGGCAGAGTTTAAAAGGTTTGAATAATTTTTTCTGGTTAGCGTTTTTTTAGCGAGACGGGAAGGGGACGCTAACCCCATGCCCAACCCTCCTCCTTTATCCGGGCTTGGGACCGGCAGTAGTCCCCGGAGGGACTCCAGATTAAATATTTAGATAAAAAAGCAATCACGAGATTCTAAGATATTTTGTTCATATGAAGTAAACCATACATGAATTATCAAACAAACAAATCGTAACTAAGTTCCTTAAAGTAAATAACAGGAACTAATCACGACGTTTCGATAAGAAACAACATGTTTTACAAACATCCAAATACTATATAAATATTTAAGTAAAACTTAGAAATTTAAGCATTATTAGAGCTAGGTAATTAAACATACAATCATAAACTAATATTACATTTTGTTCATCACAACCTAATATAGACAAGCTAATGGGTCTTAAGGTGACTTTATTCATCTCATGACAGTGCCATGATTTCCTGCAGAAGCTTTGAAAATTCAACCAGAAATAGAATGTGTATGTTAATATAATAGACCTTGCTTCACTTGGATTAATTTCAAAGTGTGATAAGAACTGAATCAAAATGATCGATAAATCGGGAACAAACGATTTCAAATTCCTGCCATAAACACGTATTATTAATAATAAACACGTTGCTGAATAGTGATATGGATGAACAAGGCTTAAATATTTATTAAACAGTTGTTAAACGAATTACCTTTTAAGGTAGTGTCATACATTTAAAGGACGATTTTCATTCTGAACTGAAGTTAATGAGAAAATCATTCACCACAAAGAGGAATTGAACAATCATTATTATATAAAATTTAATGTTAAAATCTACAACCGTTAAGGTGTAGAAGGATATCACAAACAGATCAATAAGTTTCACTGCGAAGAAGGAAGCCTACCATTAGTCAAGAAAACAAACACTTATGGTTCTCCCTAACTTTTGATCATTATACTTTGCAAATACCTCCAAAAAATTTATACATATGGATATAGAGTATTGTACCGCATCACAAAACTGAAGAAATACACTTACACCTTGACCAGGATGCCGATAAGTCAAAGATTCTTCTTGTGTACCGTTGAAATTTATCCTGGAAATTGTATGACATATCGAAACTAAAACCAAAAATTTCAAAGTAGTCGAGTAATTTATCAGCGCAACAAAGTAAATGAAATAGTTTACTAGTGGGTGACGAAGGAAAATCTTGCTATTTAATTTATTGACTGAAATGAAAATTAAGACAATTAAATTACGACCCCATTGCTCTATAGTACCGTACTTGCCGTGAGATTTGAAGCTTCTAGGTTAAAATCTTTGTACGGCCGTTGGTGAGGAATTTTAAGGAGATTAAAAGTAGGATGCAATAGATGTCCGGGGTATTTCTGTCCAAGGCATCTCTCATTTCATAAGAAAACTTTATTTTCTGAAATTCAAAATTATAACCGGCTTAATACCATTAAAAGTTCACTAGTAATCTAATACTGTGAATAAAGTAAACTAAATGACTTTTTAGTACACTCAGCTTTCCTTTCACGAACCTTAACTACCTTATGAACGTCTGTATACCTATAATCCGAATTCATGCTATACCACTTTCGATAGTTTCAAGCAAAGCATTATTATTCAGCCATGATGTCTTTCGAGATTCTAGGATCAAAGTTATCAACTATCAAATTACTTATAATCACATTATTCCCACAGTATCTTAATGATATACATATTTCGTTTCACATTTTTATATAAATATAAGTGTTTATCTAACAAAATAAGTTTTAGAGAGAAATATTATTTATAGGACTCTAAATCACTGCAGGACGCGTATCATTACAATAGTAAACAGTCATCGACTTTCAACATTGCATCAAATATATCGATCGATTAGGCAATGATTTATTCTCCTGTACAACAGTAGGGCCGCATTCAGTGGAGCAGATATTAATAAGACAACTTGTAGTGTCAGTTATTATGGCAAGCCCATATACCTTTATTCTAACTTCCGGACATCCTATTTTATTCATTTTACTCGAGTCATGTTTTGACCTTGTTAATTATTCGCTTATTAGCCTTGACTGTTTTCACATGAGCGTACATGTGTGTACACTTCATGTCCGATGACTCATTGTATGTCTGTAGCTTATTTTGTCTGCCTATAAATAATGAGTAACGCTTAATTAAAATGGAGTTGGCTTCACAGCCATCCTCCCTGTGCGTCATTTTGCTTGGCTCTGTTTCATTCACTTCATATACAAAATATATGTATTCAAATGCCATTCTCGTTAATTGACTTATTTAATTCCGTTATGGACTAACGCGATCTAAGTCGACGATGATATACGAGAATAGGTGATAACAATCATTCGTACACACTAAATGGAGTCAGATTAACGGGACACATCAAACTGAATAATAAAATTGGTAACCACTAGATGTAAAAATGAAGGCGATACGTGTTGCAAGGAGATGTCTAGTCAAAGGTCATTGATTGTAAATAACCATGTACGAATATGTTTGTAGTCACGGAAAAAGAGCATCTTGTATCCAAATGAACATATTTTGGTAATATAACCAGAGAGAGTTAAAAACTACTTTTATGTCGAGAATTGATAGTTTTACTTTCTATATGACAAAATTTTACTAGTATTCTGTTTTTTGTGACTTACAAAAACTTGATGTTATTCCTGCCATAATTCCTAAGAGAAGTCTAAAAGCCCATATACACCAATGTGTTCCAAGGTATCGCTTGCTAACTAAAGCACACAAAATGATATAAATCGTAGTTCCGAAAAAAGCCATCCCAGCACCAATATCATGTATTAATTCAACGTTAACTTGCTGAAAATATAAAAAAATCAAAATAATATGAATAAATGTGAACATATAATAAGAATGTAAGGTGAATATTTATGACAGATGAAATTTGTTTGCTTCAAACGCCAACGTGTTATCCAATAACCTGCTAAGTCCAAAAAGCCACTGACTTGCACAAGGAAAATGAATTTGAACCGAATTTTTAACAATGTCGATGATTCCGCGTGTTCTGGATTCTACCTCTACTTAAAGTATATTTATTCTACATACATCTGTGTCATAATGATATACAGAGACAATCCACACAGGATGCATAAATCCCGACCAAGGCTATTATTACATATATTTTTATTGGGTAATTATTAGGTAACTAAATTATATATATCCTTTTATCATAAGCTTTCACTTGACTTATTGGATACTATTATACGATTTACCATTCTTAACTTATTCCCAATTTATTAGTTACAGTCTCTTACACTCACAGCCACTTTTGGACTGATTTGGTATAATTTTTATTTTATATTTTGTGGTGTAATGCAGTCTGGTCTACTAGTATATAAACCACGTGCGTCTGAAATACGCGATTCATACAGCAGAGATTGAGGCTACATTCTGAACTAAATGGGTAGGGCTAGGCAAGAAACACCAATAAAGATTAAGAGTTGACACAAGGCTTCTAGTGCTGCTTTACGTGTTATTGTGCGGTGTGTGCTACCGATGTCGACATAAGTAGTATATAACGCTAGTTAGGAATGGAATATCTGGCAGTAGAAGGTCGAGGAGGAAAGGATGGGAACAGAAAACAATTGGTTTAGAAATGCAGGAACAATGAAGTCTGAGACAATTAATAAACAATTTGCAAATGAAGCATTTGCTGTATGGTTCTCAAATTTTACTAAGACGTTCTGCAATTTTGTGTTCAAATACATTCGATTGTTCCCACTGGTGTACTTGTTCACCACAACAATTTTAACACAAGAAAAAGGTCATATAAGTCGATATTCAGATTGGCGACTTTGTCACCTGATAACTAGCAGAGCAAATGCCATTATAAAAATAACACAGATCAGATAATGACCATCAGAACTTTGATCATCATTAAATGAAGTGCACTTAACAGATTATTAAAATAATAATCTTGACTGCGTAATTTATCTTATCATTAGCATGTAAAAAAGTAAGAACATTCTCGTTACAAACAAAAGAAGAAAATTATTTATTTGACGGGGCTTTGTTTACTAAACCTCTAAAAACTGCAGGTCCTGGGTTTGATCCCCAGTCGAGAGTTGGATGCGCCCTGCTGGTGATGGATGTTGTTTTTGGTAGTTATCTACCTAAGGACATCTGGAGATGCAAATTGCAAAAAAACACTAATTAATATCTTTAATAATGGTATGCGATTTACGTTTCGTTGTTCGATTTTACACGCCCAGTGATTTGCGGTTTTTCTTTAGAAGTTGTTGATGCTCGTTTTATTTTCCATGGTTGTACAGTTATAAATTAGTCACTTCAGATGATGATTATAATTGTTTTCTTTCAAATTATGCTATACAAACGATAAAGAAAGTGTTACAAAAAGACTTTTAGGTTAATAAATTTGATATTTCAGTTGTCCGAAGGCTTAACAGAATTTAGTATAATGATAAAAACCGATGGATGTAAACTTTTTGTTGTTGACAGAATAGCATAATCTGTTTCATGAGTACAAAAAGTCAAATGTGGAAACGTGTATATACTTCAAGATTGATTTGATAGAAATTATACCACTGATTATCTGAAAGTTAAATACTACTTTTCATTTCATACTACGAGTTAATAAACTAACGAATTTCACAACGAGATTTGGGTTCAGAAATTTTTCCTGTACTTCAACGTTTGTTCAAAAAAGTTTGATAAACAAACTGTACCCATTCATCGAAATTATAATCCGATTATATGTATGGGTAGCTCTTTACATTTATTACAGATACATGCATTTCAAATAGACTCATTTATGTTAACTTACTTGAAAATTCCCAACCAATGTTAAACCAACTGAAGCAACTAGAGACAATAAAAGCATAAATTTAAGAACACATTTTGGTTGATGTATGCCCATAAATTTTGTTCTCTCCAATGCGATTAAATACCAGAAAAAGGAGCATATCAAACCTATAGTAGTGAAAAAAACACAACGGATAAAAATTTCATTAACTATATCAAGCTAAAAAGAACATGTTTTTAAGTGGTTTCATAAGAATAGCGAATAGTTTGCATCTCTAAAGATTCGCAAATGATATTTAATATGTGAATGTTTATTCTGTGCAGTCAACAATAAGGTAAGACAGAACGATTTCAACCAAAATAAGAGAAAATTGACTGAGTTCCAAAGTTTTGTTTTACGTGTTGTCATTGTGACTTGTGAGTTGGTCTCATAATTTTACTTTATAGAACACGTCATTCATCATGTGATGAAAATTAATGTTTTAGCAAGTATTTATATGTTAAGTGAGGATCGATATTGTCATTGGATTTGTAAATAAGCAGAAGAATTACTAATTCGTTTAACCAAAAGGTAGAAAAAAATTATTCTAAAAAATCTGTGGTGTATACATTTACTATGCGAACATACACATGCAAGAATCATGCATAAAAATGCATATACTACATTACTACTTATAAACCGAGGTTTCCAATTAAACATAGAATTCTATCAGTTCACATCAATCAAATCAACTAATTAGTTTATGATTCAAAACAATAATAACGTTAGCATGAGACGTTTATAAATTTCGTTGTACTGAAATAGAAACAACAACAATAAAATTAAGTTTTCTATCAATGAATAATAGGACGAAACGGCCGTCGAGTGCTTCCTGGTTTTCAATGGTGGCCTAACATTGATCAGTTCATGATCTCAATTAAAAACTCAACAATCTCCACAATCCTATACTAATATTAACATAAAGCCGGTTTTCACTCGCTTAAGATTGAAAGGTGAGGAGATTTCATGAAGGATAGACGAAAGGCTTAAAGCAGTTCTGAAAAGAATGTTTTCTGTTGCCTAACTACCTTAGCATTAAACACTAAACGTTTCTTAAACGAATCAAAAGTGGATTAATACCCCTCTAAGGTAATCTCTAAATGTGTTTACGAATCCACATGTATTTATGGAAGTAAAAACATAGAAGGGCTGAAATAGGGGATTTACAAGGTTTCCCAAACGTATTCGCTCAAAGCTGTGCTTGAAAGGAATTAAGGTATTCATAAGTGCGATCACCAGACATTTGATCAATAGCGCTCACAATACGGATGCAACAAAAATCTGTAATAATTAACAAATAGTAAACATAACTTATATTCCGCTTTTCAGAGGCTATAAATTCAAGCGCTTTCAACTTGACCTCTGTACACAGAGCGAGTGTGCGGTAACCTTTTCGTCGTCATGAACGTTTGCCAATTACATTCTTACTTTTTTGTACTTAATAACTTAAAATAAAACAAATTATAATCACACACACCTGTGGCATCAACTTGAATTTTGTGTCAGATAGGTGCTTTGACTACCACTCATTTATTTACAATATTTTCTAGTCTCATGCATTTAGTTCCCTTTATTATCTTGAAGACAGCAAGAACAAAATATTGATCAGATAAATGCAACAGAGACTTAACTGGCTCAACAGAAAGACAAATCACGAGCGTACTCAGGGAGTTATTGTAGAGAAAAAATATTAATAGCCTTCACCGCATATGTATAGCCTGCCGAAGATTCATTAACAAGGCATCTCGCTAAAGCTTATTTTGTCAACGGGAATTTCACCTCATCACAAAGTTGTACACCGGCTAGAGGAAAACCAAGAATCCGATCGTCACCACTTAGCCTCTTTTCGATTTGCTGACAGTCTCAACCACATAAATATTGCTGGTAAGTCGATGGTTTCTTTTGATATGACATCTCTTCTTACCAAAATAACACTTCAGATAACCATAGACATAATTTTCGAGCAACCTAACCTCCTATCTCTACCAGTGCCAGAACTCGAACGACTGCTAATTATGTACAGTTTCAATTTGATGACACCATACGCCATCAAAGTAGTGTAGAAATGGGAAGTCCACCTGGTTCTGTCCTAGCAAATTTACTCACGGCTAACTTTGAAAAGACCAAGCTTAAAGGAGCGATTAATGAAACGATATGTCACGCAGGGTATGTTGACGACACTTTTATTGTATGTAACGATCAACAGCAGACAAAACACCTGGTTAACCTCTTTGGCGACGCTGATACAAATATTCAGTTTACCATGGAATACGAACAGGATAATGAGTTCCACTTTTCAACATTACAGTACAACAGAGATAGGATGGTACAGTTCAACATTCAGCTTATCGAAAAGATACGTGGGATGATATTTATATGAAGTTTAACAGCTTTTGTTCGATAAGTTACAAAACGGCACTTATCAAAACACTTTCACAGAAAGGAATGAACATGTACTTTCAATACACTGAAAGTAAAATTATTGAACGTTGAAGAAATCCTAAGAGGCAGGGGGCATCCAAAGGAATTTACTGAACAATATAAGAAAAGTAAAGACAAAACACTCCAAGAAACTGCAGAAGAAAAGAAACCTATTTTCATTCAACTTGATTCCAAAAGTGACGACGTTTTAATGACAATAAGCAGTAGATTAAAAACGACATTGACTAGAACTTATCCTGTATGAAACAATATGTTCTTTACTCCAATCGAAGATCGACAGTTACACCTTTCATGTTACTGCCAACTGCGTATGCGAATTTACATGCACTTGCTGAAACATTCACATTTGTAGAACAGCAAAAAGGGCCCATGTTCGATTCCAAGAACACATCCCAAAAAGTGCCAACTGAACTTAAGGCTTTTAACATTACTATCGCCAAATATTTCTGTGACACAAGGTATCAAGTTCACAGACTGAAATCTTTCAGCATTATCAATCGACAGCCAAATTCCACTTTCGTTAAACTCCTCGGAGCTATTCCCATCAAACGACTCAAGCCAGATTTATGTATTCAAAAGGAAGTAGTTACAAATCTTTCCCTACCATGACGATTTTATTATCAGTTCATTACATCACTCTTGCACCTGTTTTTTCTCTCTCTTATTTTAGTTGCATCACTACCATTAAATTCATAATTTTATTTTTAGCTAACTGATCCCAACATATGATATCTTAAAATGCTTTTGATTTATGTTCAACTACTTCATTATATAATCAAGTAATTATTTTATCGCTATAATTTCTTACTAATATGTCTGATAATCCAGAATCCCATCTCACATATCATACTTCTTTGCAACACTCTTTATATATCTTCACTCTTATTACTCCACTATGATGATACATAACTATTTTTACTGTTATAAGCATGGAAACTTTACAGTGATTTTGGTTTTTTTTTAATATCATAAATTATAAGTAGGTGATGAAAGCCATACAAGATAAAATGAATTCACGTTATTTTGTTCAATTATTTGTTTCTAGTCATTGTCTATTATTATGATTCATAACTTCAACCTGATCTTCACATGACTTCATCTTCAACATATACTATCAGTATAGAGTTGTGTAGATTGTTGAGTTTAGGGTGATATTACGAATGGATCGATGTTAGATCATTATTGAAAACCTGAGAGCACTGGACAGCCGTTTCGTCCTAGTATTGGAGTCCTCAGAAGTGCGCATTAAGACCATTGGATGCCTACACAGTGATCTAGAGGTTGAGCGTTTGCGCGCGAGACCGAAGGTCCTGGATTCGAGTACAGCGTGCAGGATTGTAGATGAGCACTGTTGAGGAGTTCCAAAATAGAACGAAACGGCCGTCTAGTGCTACCAGGTTTTAATTGGTGATCTAATATCGATCCATTCATGATATCAATCTAAATATAGATACCAATCAGCCTTAACTCCTTGATCTAATATACTGCTTCCTTTTCTTAGTTCGTATGTCGTGTTGAACTAAACTTCATTGATTACAGTGTATAAAGATTTTTGCAACAATATTACCGATGTAAATTAGAACGTCTGTAGCTGATGAGAAGCCTTGAAATCTAGTGAATCTATGTTATTTTGCAAATTTTGTTCTTTTCGCTTTATATAAATATCTATGTGTGGGTTTAGGATAACAGATCTTGGGTTTGGGCACGAAATTTATTCATCCGTTTGGTTGAAGGGCGTTTTGGGAATTCAGCTGATGTCAGTCAGTGAAAACTTTAAATCTAATTGCTAACCCTCACCATCAACTGTAAATCATAGTCATCATTCTTCACACAGGTTTATAACTCTCATTTGGCCCTAGCAAGTGAGTGGACATTTTCGAGGCCATTTTAACGTCGCTCAAAGGTCGGCCATAAATTATAGTCTCACCTAACGTAATTTCTACACAATTTAAAATGTATATCAATTTTAAAGTCTGTAATTTAATCCGTTATTTTAAAAACCCAGAATTTGATAAATTATCGCATTATAAAGAACTAAAAGTCATATTTCGTTAAACAACCGTGGGTGACTTTATTCATCAAGAGAGGGTATTCTAATAAAATTGTCATTTGTAGCAACAATAATGCGTAGAACTATCAGTTGGCTTTCTTATTTTGAGCATGTAAATAATTTGCGGTTTAAGTTGAACGAGCTTATTTCTAGCTGAAAAGTCGCACGATCATATTACTCCAGTTTCATTAAAATGCATTCATTTAGCTGAAACATTAAAAATCAGATTGGTTGACAATATATTTTAAAAACTAGCCGTTAAATCTATTCGAACAGACGGAAGTTATTCACTTTATAATGTGAACTCTATCATTGTTTAATATGTATGTAAACTACTTTGAGCGAATAATTAATCAATGAGTATGTGCGAAACCATTATTCTGGAATACAACAATTTTTAAAAAAGCCTTTAGTTAGTTTTCTTGGATTGATGGTATTAAAGAATAAAATTTATTAAACCTTACTTGGATACAAACTGTCTTCAACCCATATAACAGCACCAATCAATAAATAATGGTGTTGAGATTTTACTTGAAACAAATATGGAAATATAAAATACTAAAAATATTAAACAAACTGGATAGATTCACAAAATCGATAAATCCAAGTCTAATAATCTTATAGTTTACTTTTAATCACGTTATCACTTAGACTAAATAATGATTCCATCTTTTTAGATGATTATAGATGGCTATTAACAGTATAGATAAATAGGATTCATAGCCAAATGCACTGAAATTGTACGCAAACGCTAAGCTGTATTTAACAGCTTTTTTAATTCTTGGGTAAATTCCTTCAATGTGGTATTCAAATACCAAATAGCTAGTCTAGAAAGAATTTATCTATGCATGTCGATAGATTAGGTCAAGACTTCAAAGTTAATTTTCCCACTTTTATGAAGTACAGTGCAAATGGTGAAAGATCACTTGTCTTCTGGTTTATTTACCGTACAATAATCAGAGTGAAAGTATACAATATTAACAGTCAGAAAAGGTTTCAAACAAGATTCTCTTGACAATTTCCGTCGCACAGTAGAAAAAGTACAGAGTAATTGACCATTAGTTTGGATTTCATTTCCAAATAAATCATTATTTTTAATACTTTTTTTCAACTTGTTTAAATCTACTTGAACTATAATTAAAATTGTGATAATTTCTTTTACTGAATATACTTTCTTTGATAGAATTATGGAACTCAGACTTACTGATAAAAGCAGCTAAGTTTAATCCCTCACCAAATATACAACTTTCTGGTGGATAAGCACCTGTAGAGCTGAAAAAGCGTATAAAATATATTTAAAATGGGTTTTACGGTAACGTAGACAAGAAGAACCATAGATTTCTATCAAACTATCGATTGAGGCATTAGAAAGTACTAATGCTTAAATTCGTTTACACATAAGCTAAGCCAATATCATATTCTTATTTAAAATAAAAAATAAAGCCGTTTAGCTGAAAAAGTATATGAAATAAAGTAGCATCACATATATAAGATAAACTTTCTGAAGAAATTCAGACGTCAAACAGATCTAATGTTCATACCCAGGGGTAGACGTAGGGTCCATTGGTAAAAATATCAGTGTTATACATTGGGTTAAAGAATAATGATGACCGCAGTATTATCCAATAGATCGATAATTTTTACAATTAGTAATATACGCATACGATATGTCCCTTTGTTAAGGAAGAAATAACACATTTTATTAGAAAACAAAGGTCGAAGATAGGTTTACATCAAGCTTCATCAGTAAAAAGATAAAGTCCAAACCTTCAAGATAATCGGCTACCTTCGATTAAAAAAGATGATCTACTTAATTGCCCACGTCAAAGACAAAACAGATGCTAATAATTTAGAGAATATGATTCCGAATATCCTTGAAGGAAAATATTTTACAGAGACTATGAGAACCATGTCCTATGGTCGACTCATATTTTCGGAAATCTCTCGTATCTGACCGCTTTTGAGTTTATTTGCAAAGTTACTTGTTCTTATGAATCAATGTATCCTCATATTTTGATGGTTATTTTTCCTAAAAGCGTTCAAGAATATAATTTTGGGTGGGTAATTATGGATTACATAAATTGAATTGAAAGTCTTATAGTAGAACATGAAGTAGATATTAACTCTAAAATTAAAACAGGACTCATTTTAGCAGCATTTAACAAAGTAATAAAGGCCTGTAAAACTTAATAGTTACCGCCTTATTGTGGTCCAGGAGCTCTCGATAAACAAATAAAAAGCCCGAACTAGGAATAAAAAAGAAATTCGTTTGACTTCTTTTGAGATTGAACCAAACAATAGTTTATGAGTTCTTCTTTACACATCTTCATCCCCCTTTATCACGCAGTGGAACTCTTGCTTTTTATTTATACTTCTTTTTATTGACTACAATTCAGGTCTCAGGCTTATCTTACTGTGAAACGCAATTCGTTTTGTAATTATCTTTATTTGCCTTATGTCTATTAAATACTCCAGCTCTTTTCAACCTATGATATAATTAACACATTATTCCAAGTCTATTATATGTTTTTCTGTGTTCGATCTGTCGTCTTTTTCATACTTCATAGTTGTAAAACATTATATACAAATGGTTGTACAACTCTGAAAATTAAATTTCTGCAAAAAATCTCTTTGCTGAAAAACATTCATTTTTCCGTCTCACAGTGAGCTTTTTGTTTACTCAGAAACGCGACTGCATTTCCTGATAAGAAAAATGGCTTCAATTCAAAAAGTCTAATTTTACATTTTATGTGACTTATTAGTTTAAGACTGTCTAATCAACCTGTATCATGAATGTATTTAGGTTATTTTGAATGAAATCTTACGTCGTGAGCTAAGGTTTTAAATCACTTACTGCTGACTTCTCAAGTATTTCCTCCGGATGTCCTCAATGCTTCCACGCAATTCACAATAATAGTGTATGATGCTCCAGACTTCAGTGCCCAATAAGTTACTGAGGTTAGTAAATTATTCTGATCATAAAAAAATTGGAAGCAGTTTACTTTGAAGCTACTAACTAGTCAAAAACTTCAACTCATTAACCAAATTATTTTCTTGATTGAAGGAAAAATGTCAGTCAGATTTTAAATTCGGTATCATTTTCGACTTAATAAACATTCCTTAAAGGTGTATCAGTTATTAACAACTTCATTAAAGTTCAAAGCCCTGTCAAAAACATTATTATTGTTGCTAGCTCGTCAAACATTACAAATGATTTGTTTCAACCATCTCTTATTTGCCTACGACCGAATTTTATATAAAAACACAAATTTCCGTCCTTGCATATCTGCAATCTGCTTACGTCTTCTATTTTTTGAAAGTTATAAACCTCTCACAGTACTGTACATTGTTGGTGGGCTAACTAAAGAGTTCCAGATGGTTACTAATTTAACACAATCTAGATTAAATATAATGCAGTAATGCATTATTACAATCAATATGTATTTACTTGCCTGATAAATGGCAATTCTGCATTTACATGTCCTCTATGGATGGAAATAAGATATCTATATTGAAGTAAACAAAAAGATTTTATTATATAATAAAATCATCAGGTTTAGTTTTAAAAGCAAATAACTTATAAAATGCTAATTTTTTACGAAAGATTGATTTAGTCAACAGATTACATTTTCAAGTTATGCTATTAAATAACAAGCAGTGAACTTACAGGACTGTATTTAACACTCATATCATATTACTCTATTAGTACTCATCCGAAAACCCGTTTAACAAATAGGGATGTTCAAATACATCCATCTGAAATGACTCAAAAACTGTGTAGACTTGGATCGATAACTCATGTTTTTATCTTATTAAGGTAAGAAGCAAAAGATAGTATATATATTCAACTGTATGATGAATCCACGACTGAATGTGTAAACTACTTCACGGAGTAATCCAAAAAAATCACACTTTAGTAGATCTTCATCTACCTAAAATATTTATTCACACAATTTATGACCGCTCTTAGAATGCCGAAGGGGTATTTTTCAGTTTCAGGAAATATTTTTCTTACTACCGTCTTCAAGTTAAATATTTGCGATATTCCAAACATATTGCAAATACCTGGTAATCTCCATATTTTTCTGATGCTATCTCAATAACGTTACATAGGGGTTATGTTTATCAGAGAAGTTGAGGTTGGAAGGTTTTTGAAGTTTACTTTTATTCATTGTCACAAACTTTTAATTAGAAAAAAACGAAATTTAATCGTGAAAATTGATTGGAAATCAAGCCTGGAAAGAAACCGGATAGTCTCTATTTGAATATGACATGAATTTTAGAGCTAGGAAATACTAAGAGCAACAAGATTGATTACGTTGCTGACAACGTGGAGACTCAGTAACAATTGTATGATTTGCAAAATAAACTACGTTAACAGATATTTCAAAGCCGTGAAGAACATTCAAAACTCTGAGTCTAATTAAGTCAGCAGCCAAAATATATTTTTTGGACTTAATAACTTTTGCATTTGTTTAAGAAATAAACTTTTGTTCTGCGTTTACAGTTCAAATAAAACTGGACTTCATCATGCATGCATTAGAAGTTAACAAATAAGCAATAGAATTATCTAGATTTCAGTTAATTTTTACAAACTATTACGGTCTCAATCGATTGTCCAACTACCTCTTCCTATTCTCGTTTAGTTTGTAAGACATAATACGTCCGATAGTTGTAAGTTACTTGAGAATTTAGAAATATATACTCTTTCTGGGTGGACTTGTATGGGAATAAAAAGCCAATTAGTTTTAAATACTCTGGAACTTTAACTAGAAATTTATTCCTTCCATCAACTAACAGAAGAATGTTCACAAAGTTGTTTCCAACAGAGCACAACAGTAATCATGTTACATAAAAGACTTAAATATGTATATGTTTTATATCTGAAATAATAAACACGGGAATGAACTTACGTTGTTAGGACTGTGAAACTCATGATCAAAGCCAATAAAAGCGCAACCCACTGCAAACCAATATGAGGACATGCAACAAACATATCGCTGAGTTCTGTGTATTAGCTGTATATAACCTGGAATATATTGGATGCCATATTTTATAATGTCACTTTTGCACAAAACAGTATCCATAGTCTGTCAATTTTTATCATTTGCTATTCAAATTTGTTTTGGGGAAAAACTTAGTTTGCCTTAATAGGTCTGTTTTTTGTTTATTTATAAACCATTTCGAAATGGTTGAGCCTAAACAACTCTATGACATGAAACATACTATGTCCCTGTATAAACAGTACACATGCAACAGAAACGTCAAATGGCATATGTAATGCATAAGTGTGAAAGTTCGAACTAACACTATCAGATCTACAGTCATTCTACGATTTGTAAAAAATGGCTGTGATCTGTGTGTTTAATGATGATTGTTTTGAGCATCAGTATGAGCTTTATCCATAATTCCAATAAAATATCAGTACCTTCTGTTGATATATTCAAAACAACATTGGACCTCCACAGTGTTACGAAATGTAAGGATTAATATAGATCGACAGACCTGTCCTTATTACTGAAGACAATAAATGTACGTGATTTAAAACAATTAGTCCCTTTGATAAATTTAGATAATGCAATGAGAAGACGTAGTTTATCAGAATTATGTGATACATTTGCGCAATACATTTCGAACAATCTGATCACACATATACTTGTTAAGAACATTTATATATGAAAAATTAAAAGGTCAACTAGACAGGTTAAGGGTAAGTCATAACAAAGGAAAAATTATTAAAGTACACAAAAACAAATGTGATTACCACTCTGGACAGTAAATCAGTACTACCAGGGTAGGTTAAGTGTAAGTACAAATTGTTTTTGAACACATAAAGGGGGTTTCCTTTTCTTGACATCCTGATTACTAGGAGAGATGATGGTTCCATCAAACGTGCTACATATAGAAAACCAACTTGGACAGGACAATATCTTAATTTTCATAGTCACTGCCCTATTCATTATAAACGTGGTTTAATAAAGAGCTTATTCAATAGAATCAATCGTATTTGTACTAGTGATACTATTGAAGTAGAGATGAAGCTCCTGACTGATGCGTTATTCAATAATGGTTACCCTTTGAAGTTCATAAACCGCTGGAAGGGTTGCAATATGACTAGACCTATGATGCTTCTTGCACCCAAAAAGCGAGTTTATATTACGCTACCATTCAGAGGTGACACAAATAGTCTCATGTTGAAACAGAGACTTAAATTAGCTATCAACCGGACATTTTATGCAGCCCAACTTGTCATTATCGAAAAGACAAGGTCTATGTTTCACCAAAAGCCCAAACAGCATGAAAACGATTGTGTCACATCCCATTGTGTCTATAAATTTACATGTATGTGCGGAAACACGTACGTAGGGAGGAGCAATCGTGATTTGCAATTAAGGGTGAGTGAACATATACCAAAATGGTTGCAAAATCAGATGAATTCCAATGGTGAAATAAGACCACAGGATAGACAGACATCATCATCCATTGCGAAACATTTGATTGAGACGGGTCATAAGGTTGATATCAAATCATCATTTGTTGTGTTGTACAAAAGCCTTCAAGGACGTATACTAAGGTTTATTGAAGCCTTGGCTATACGAAAATTGAAACCCCCTTTATGTGTTCAAAAACAATTTGTACTTACACTTAACCTACCCTGGTAGTACTGATTTACTGTCCAGAGTGGTAATCACATTTGTTTTTGTGTACTTTAATAATTTTTCCTTTGTTATGACTTACCCTTAACCTGTCTAGTTGACCTTTTAATTTTTCATATATAAATGTTCTTAACAAGTATATGTGTGATCAGATTGTTCGAAATGTATTGCGCAAATGTATCACATAATTCTGATAAACTACGTCTTCTCATTGCATTATCTAAATGTACGTGAATTTACGGGGTTTTACTATCTCCAGGTACAGGTCTCTTCACATGCACAAAAGTACATTATACATGAATCTGCTGAGTTCTGTTCCATAACCTACGTTAAATGCAATGTATGTGTATATCGGATTGATATTCACGGCTAACATAAAAACGATATGAATAAATAAACAATTTGCAGAAGAGAGGCTAATAAAAAATAACGAAAGCCTTAGATTACGTCGTAACAATTATTAAAGACAGAAAGTATCTCCATAATTATATTTTGCAGTCGAATCTTCAAGAAATGAATTGGTAAGTTGAAAAAGGCACGAGTTTTCAGAGGAGATCAAAATCAGACATTTATCAGCAATATATCCAAAAAACCGAACCAGAATTTACTGAAGTACTCAAAAAGATCTTGACATATGATAACGAAGGTATTTATGCACAAAATAAAGACAAAAAATAAGTGCAATAAAACCAGCTGTTATATAACATATATATCTGTGATAGACTTGAAAATGAACAGTCGGTTGATATAGAAGTATGTCACGATTTGCGTACAGCCTAAATGGGTTTTTTTCACATTCTAAAGAAAATAACACTGCCCTAGACGTGATAAAAACAAATGAATCCTAGCTAACGATTCGCTGGCTGATGAACTTACACTAAATATTGAAGATTATCAACAGAGATTTGTAAAAATGCGAGTGTGAAATTAGGACAATCGGATAGTGAACGCTAAAAGTATTGTAGAAATTGCGTTCAACTAAAAATGTTCGAATGCAAGTTACTACTTACTTTTCGCGCATATTGACCTTCAAATAACAAGACCGTGAGCTAAAAGGTTAGTTTCATCTTCTGTTTCAATTCGGAAATGTCAGAAGGGTGGTTAGCCACTGTAAATCCTAGCGGCCTCCTGTTTGATCCAGCCTTTAACATGCTGTTAAAATAGTGAGCGCGCTATTTAAAAAGAACAGTGGTATTGTTTCTCGTTGAATTAAATAACTGTTTTGATCGTAAATTACGTATCAAAACTGCGATTTACACTTTAATTGAATGTACTACATTTAAAGTGCTATTCTATTGAGCCTTTTTGGCTTTCGTGTATTTATTACATTCGAAAGCATTCTTGGTCTGTATCAAAGTACTTTAGTTAAGGTTTAAAATCTTACTTATGTTTGTCTTGTGGTAACCTTTTATTCGTTGACTGACATTTGTGTTCATACTGTGATCATATTGTGTGTTACACCTTGATCTGACTAAAATGGTTGGTAGTACTCACAAATATGGACAACCAAACCCGTCGGCAAAACGGCGAGAAAAATCTCCGGCTAGTGGGTTTTCGGATATTCAGGTCTTGGAAGCGAATGCTACCAAGGCCTGTGTGGATAGGCTGTTCTACTTAGGAGTTTTGTATGCCAACACTCGTAGTCTACAAAATAAGTTCTATGAACTAGAAGCACTAGTGGACAGGTTAAAGCCATTCATAGTAGCAGTGACAGAAATTTGGTTAGTCCATGACTTAGAAATTACTCCAGATTTATCCGGGTACCATTACATCAGGAGTGATAGACAGAGATGTAGAAAAGGAGGCGGCGTCCTGTTATATATAGCCAATAGCATAAATATCCGCTCATCTACTAGCGAATCCCATGATAGCGGCACTTGTGAAGTCATTAGCTGTAAGTTGGCTATAGGGTGTAGTACATTTATGCTAGGTGTCATCTATGGCAGCCCAATCTGCTTAGCTGATGACCTTATTTTACAGCACATTCATTTTTGAAGTGAAAATACCAGATGCTTGATAATAGGAGACTTTAACGCACCTCATATTAGTTGGACTGATATGACCATAGAAGGATCTATAAACTCCTTTGATAGTAGGTTCCTGATAGCAATAATGGAGCATGCACTAGTGCAGCATGTATCCCAACCCACACGTTTTGGTGTTAACCAGAGTTCTTCTCTGCTGGACTTGGTAATCACTCATGAGACTGAGGATATTGTCGACTTAAATATTCTTCCACCGTTAGTAAACAGCGATCATGCTGTTTTGTCATTCGCGTTTAGAACTAGGGACATGTTATACGATCAGGTTACACCTCGCCCAAATGTATGGAAAGCCAACATACCAGCCATTCAGGAATGCGCTGCTAAGACAGATTGTTTAGTAGATACTAGCATATCAGTTGAAGAAGCATGATCTGTACTTAAAGGTAAATTTAGATTAGTTACGTCTCCGTTCATACCATACCTGGTACCGCGAAGACCGAATAATAGTTCACCATGGATAACTAAAACGGTCAGGAATCTCCTTAGAAAAAGGAAGAATCACTGGAATATGTTCATCTCTACTGGCTTAGAACAATACAGATCCAGTTATTGTAAGATTAGGAATGCCTGTAAAGCGTTATTAAGCGAGACTAGACTATCATACGAAAAACAATTGGTTAGGGATTCTAGATATAGTCCGAAAAGGTTATTCTCGTATATAAAAAGGCGAACTAAGAGAAGCGATGGAATTCCATCACTTTTGATACAAGAAAATCTGTTAATCTTGGCAGAAAATGATGCCGAAAAGGTTGAAGCTTTATCGGAATATTTTAGTAAAGTATTTTTTAACGGTAATGAAGAACGATCAAGGATTCATCGCAACCGTGAAGGCGCGCTGATGGATCCGGTAGTCATTGAGAAAGATACTGTTTTAAGGCTACTTCAGCATCTCAAACCTGACAAGTCCAGTGGTCCTGACGATATTCATCCTAGAATTATGAAAGCCATATCAGATGAAATTGCTGAACCATTAGCGATACTATTCGACATATCTCTGAGACAGTCCAGACTTCCTAGAGACTGGAAAGATGCCATAATAGGTCCGGTGTATAAGGCTGGGAGTAGGGATTTAGTTAGTAACTATAGATCCGTTAACTTAACTAGTGCAGTTGTAAAACTGACGGAGAAAATCATTCGGATAGCTGTTATAAACTATGTTGAAGGGCAAAAATCTTTTCTCCAGGGCACAACATGGTTTTCGGAAAGGCCTATCTCGCTTGACAAATCTTCTCATTTCAAGTGAAGATGGGGCTGCTGCAAAAGATCGGAATGTTCCTGTGGATGTAATTTTCATA